ACCCATTCACACCTTACACACAGACACACACACACACACACAGGGGCGAAGCGTCTATATAATCAAATAATCACTTATTCCCTTTCTAATTTTGAAACATTGTCGCTGTCAATTAATTCATCCTTAAACGTAAACCTCATAAATTAAATGTCAAAAGACGTTCGTAATCAACAAATAAAGTGAGGCTGGAATAGAGTTGAAGGGAACATGTGAAGGGAACATTTGAAGGGAACATGTGCATGGCAGTCAAAGCTGTTTCATTGCCACATATACCCTGTTCACCCCTTTGGGGCCACAGTTAAAATCAATCACCAGCCCTGATTAAGTAAGCTAACTAACACTGGTCGAGTGAGGGGAACTAACTCTTAATAATCTCTTGACTGCTGCTTGTGCTTGTTTTTTTTCCTCGACTTTTTACCGTCCTATAATCAGATCGTGACCTCGATTATGACACCAGCTCCTGGCCGCGAAAGGCTAACAAAAACAGCCAAATGTGAAATTTAAAAAATAATAATTGTCATGTTCTACCAAAGAGTTAGACTCACTGGTAGATCTATAACATATAGATCTAGTACTGACATCTCTGCTTCTTTGCTTTATGTTTATGTATTCACATCTAAAGTTAAGTTTAATTTTAGTGGGAACTGATATTTAATAAGATACTTTCCCGATTATTTTGGCGGTTGAACATACAATATGAATTCCGGATTTGTTTTCATTCACAACTCAGAGTCGCCGCCTCGAGTAAGATTCTTGTGTGATATCTACAGGCCCTATCTGGTCCCATTTCACTTTGATTACCCTGTCAAACAAGTCAGCCTTCGCCCCTGCACACACATGAACACTCGCACGCGCACACACATGAACACTCGCACGCACACACACACACACACACACACACACACACACACACACACACACACACACACACACACATACACACACACACACACACACACACACACACACACACACACACACATGGGCCACTCCATTTGCTTATTATCAACAAATCTCGAGAACGGAAACCGTTAGGAGAAATAGAGTAAGTTTATTTTCCCGAACGTTCGGAGAAATAGAGGCGGCCTATTTATTATCTGTGTTTGTTGGGGTGGTCGCTTGTTACGGAAGTCCTTCTCGATCCAGCAACACTAACTAACAATGTATAGTAGGCCTATAGTGTTACTTGGTGTAGAAACTTGTTATGATATTAAGACCTAAGCTAGGCTAGGCTACATCATTATAATTATATTAAAAAATTATCAAACTTTATGTTGCGAGAAAGCTTGTAAATTACCTTTTGATCCCAAGACTCAATGTTAGAAGATCTGGAAGTCAGTATCCAAAAAAAAAAAAATGATTTAGATTCCTGTTGGCTAGACTTTACATGATTCTCTTTTAGTCTATATTAGGCCTGAGCCATTGAAATCTGGATTTTGACCTCGCCAAGTCAGTAGACGTCAAGGTCCCATTATATTTGGCCTGGCTAGATATTGTAACGCTCCTTGAGTCATGAGTGTTTCTGGTCCATAGGCCTAGAGACCTTGTTTCTCAATTCGTATTAAAAAAAGATGTTACCACTTTTTAAAAAAATCTCAATATATAACTAAAGGAAGAGGCTAGCCGTACTTAAGGACGGCTGGACTGGCAGTCTAGCCGTACTTATTCTTAATATGATGGCTAGACTGACCATAGGCCTACAGAATTGTAAATGATACATTTTTAGTGTGCAGTACCTTGTATTTGAGACGAAACCTTAATGACAGTGCATGTATTTTAAACCTCCTGTTTTCTATTGTTAATAGGCCCTAAGATAAGTACGGCTAGCCTGGCAGTCAAGCCGTATATAAGTACAGCTAGACTTCTTGTCTAGCCGTACTTAACTACGAGTAGACAGCCAGGCTAGCCGTACTTAAGGACGGCTAGACTGTCAGGCTAGCCGTACTTAATATTGATGGCTGAATTGTAAATGAAATTTTTAGTTCGCAATGCCTAAAGTATTTGTATTTCAGACAAAACCAAAATGTGCCTTACTGACTTGTATGTATTTGAACCTGAATAATTGCTAGATCAAGATCTAATGAGACCTGTGTACTTAACAGGCTTCAGTCGATAGGGCCAAACTTAGATCTAAGTACAGCTAGACTGGCAGTCTAGCCACTTCAATACTAAATTCATCAATGCATGCTGACAATATATTATGATACATTTATAAAACATAAAAAACTCAACTAAATAAACAGAAGTTAAAAAACTGGTTTGGATGGTTCTTACATAAATATTAAATTATTTCAAGTGATCAAAGTTTTTGCCAGAAAGCTTACACTGCAACTGTGGATAGATCTATCTAGACTCAATATATTACAGAAGATCTAGAATTCAGTCTCATGAAATCGAGCCTACTGTTGGCTAGACTTTACCTGCATGATGCTCTTTTGGTCTATAATAACTAAAATATAGTGATTGTTTTTGGTCTTGATTTAGACCTTGCCAAGTCAATATATATATGTAATAGGCCCCATACATTAGGCTATGCCTAGCAGATATTTTATGGACAAGGTTCTGGATTCTGTGTGGAGTTTCTGGTTGGTCTAGAACTTCTTCTCAATTCTGTTTAGAATTTTTTTTTTACCCCATTTAAATACAAAATCAGAAATACATAATTTTAGCTAAATTATAATCATTTATGTAACTAAATGTTTAATCCAACAGATAATGAACTGAAGTTGAAACTGACCCTTTTTCGCTTGGTGGGAATTTTTATCTAATTTTTTGTGGTTTGGTTTTGGGAGTGGTCAGCACACCACTTGAAGACCAATTTCCTTTTGGATTTTACTGTGAAAAACATTAATCAGAGGCACCGAAAAATATAAACTTGCCGTTTTCAAGGATACTCTAGCTTAAGAAGTCACCTGACTTAAATGGTTGTTTTCTCGCTAATTTTCCCTCTTACTACACCACATAACCTCCTCACCCTTCAATCAGAAATTTCTTCACTTCTATTTAGGATAGATATATGGGTATTTGTTTCACCAAAAGCAATGCAAATGTACAGCTTAAGATGTTACCAAAAAGTGCACATTCCCAAAATTTTACATAATTCCCAGTGTTGTGACTTTAAAAATTACCAGAAATAAAAAAAAAGAAAGATTTTTGACTCTGAGAAATGCATTGATAATGTTTTGCGGCTGGATAGTTTCTGAATCATGATGTCTACAGTTTGCGTTGAAGGCTTTCTGTGTCTACATCATCTTTCTAATGACTGGTACTCCAGTAATTTTAATTGTCTGAAGATATATATATACATATAAAAAAAATAAAGTCTAATATATATAATAAAAATTTGTGTGGCATCTCTAAATAATTCCCTGTTATTTCCTTCCTGCAGGCTTTAAGTTTTGTTACATAGTGTTTACAATATACTTCATTACAATGCAGATGGGTTTAGCTACAAAAAAGTGAAGTAAACACGCTTCTCAGAAAATTGCATGAGCTACTTGTAAAAGACTGCATTGTTTGTATAAACATTTGTGTTATGTTTCAAACTGGACTCCAGCACACATGACCGAAAGCCTGTAAACTTATTCTCCGAGAAGAGCCCTTAGACTCTTATCACTCAGTCAAAACCGTCTGTCTAAGACCATAGATGGCTAATTATGAATTGTTGTCTTTTAACCTTTACAGCCCCAGTCACATACAGTGGACCTCGGATTCAACGAAGTCAACGATCATGACCTTCAATTTTGTTGAATCCGAGTGTTCGAAGTTATGGTAAACATAAGTTTTTGTGGAGATAATTACAGGCACTGAGCAAGTAGAGTATAATATAGTGTATTCGACTTTCTCAATCAAAAGCAGTTTGGTTTCAAATGAGAGGCTTTTTCTGTTCTTTGATGCCATGCCAAATAAACGCTGGATGGACAGTTCCAGGAAAATACACTGAACTCTACAAAACATTCACATTTCAAAAGGGCCGGTTCGTTTAAATGCACACCTGTGTCATCTATCATACGTAGGCCTATTGTTTGCCAAACAAGAATGTTGCTGTGTAGAGACTACCATAAGGCAACGTTTGATTCCACAATCCAGTGCCCCATTTATGTATAATTATATCTTTGTCAAGACTAGCTTATCATTGTGACGTTGATCAGTAGTTGGGGAAAAAAAAACAACCTGTGATGCGTTTGTATGTTTACTGACATTCCACGCCAAGATTACTCGTGCTCCTCCCTCCACACACACACACACACACACACACACACACACACACACACACACACACACACACACACACACACACACACACACACACACACACACAAACACACACACACACACACACACACACACACACACACACTCACACACACAAATACACTCACACACACACACACACCGCACACTCACACACACATACACACACACTTGTGCTTGGCTGCCTGTCTGATCCGGACACGCTCTAAGACGTGTGTGTGCTAACAACGTGTGTTTTGGTATGAAAAAAGGCCACTGATTGGTCGCATAAGATATGTTAAACAGTAGGCAGCTAAGCAAATAATGGTTCACAATGCTGGTGGCATGGATGATTTCAATGAAAAGAGGTGCGTTGTGGGCGAAAAATGAGCGAAGCCGTGTTAGTGGGTACTTTCATCCTGCAAGTCACTTCGGTGAATCCGAGCTTGCTCATTTATGTGTTTGTTGAATCTGAGTTATTTAAATTGATTTTTGTGAGTAAAGAAACCGAGGAATCCAACTCTTTTCGTTGAATCCAAGTTTTCGTTGAATCTGAGTTCCATCGAATAATTGTCTCTGAAAAATATTCTACATGCTTTCTTCTAAAAGTTCTGAGAAAAGCAGCATGATTTTTTAAAATGTCTTCTAAAAATGTCCGACGTGACACAATCAGTAACGACTGGGCCTAGTGGGTCAAGGACTTCACATACCTGGGTCTGAGGGAAGTGAGGGCTAAAAATAGTGTGGTGCTGTAAGGGTTAAGTAAAACGTACTTGTGAGACAAATGTCTCAACTTCTCATATCTGCTAATCTATGTGTATAAGGACCACTTTAATTCACAAGAGTAGAAGCACAATAGTTTTTTGATATGTAGCTTTTCAGATGGATTAAAAACTATAATAAATACAAATAGTCCTAGGTTCTTTTGAAGTTGTGCCTTATGGCAGAGTTTTATATTATTTTATTTTTTTCAACGGATCATAGAAGGCTTAAGGTCTGCCACAGGTCAGTTGTCACTTTGCTTTACTGCTTTACAGCATTTTGTGACTAATATAACTAGAGGAAGTCAAGACTTAAGATTTTGTGTTCGAGCGGGTATGTGTTTCATGTATTGCAAGATGGTCAAAACAAAGTATAAAGAATCATAAACTTGGCAAACACTTCAAAGGTTTTACAATAATTTTAATTATTTATATGCATTTATAATACGTACTGTAAGGTATTTGTGAGGCAGCGTGGTGGAATCAGGCTATCGTCAGTTTTTGGGCATGTAGAGTTATTTGTATCATCTTAAAGCTTGTTCGCCTGTCTTTATTTGGATTTTAAAAAAATTCATTTATCTTGAATACAAGTCGAGATATTTGCGAATGAGGGGGTGGGGGTCATCTGTTTTCAGAGGTAAAATTAGTGAGAAAATAGCCGCCAAAGATTTCTTATTTCTTAGCTTAAGAGTCCGTGGAAACTGACAATTTACATTTTTTGTGCCTTTAATCAACGTTTTTCTGAAAAATCCACACAGAAATGAGTACTTTAATGGGCATGAAAGGTGTTGAGCCAAAAAACAAAAATTTGATAAAAATTCACAAACCTGCGGAAAATGCAAGTTTCTTCTCTTTGATTATTTTGACGAGAGCCTGATTTCACCACGCTGCCTCACATTTCGTTACAATGAATATACACTCTGTTCATAGTAAGTAGGCCTATGTATTTAATGCTTTTGATTATACTATAGATCAGAGGTTGTGCCTGGCTAACCAGTGGGGACTGTTCCCTTACCCATGTTTGTAAGAAAAGGTATGTGATGCAAAGAATAGACAAGTTTTTGTTGCTCTAAAAATTCTGCCTTGCATACAATTGCTTGAATTCGATTTTTGGAATTCTAGAAAGAACTTTTTAGTTTTAACTTTATCCGTACATCGTGTTTTACTATCGTATCCATACGACATGGGAAACTCTGTGCCCTCATTTTTCAAAGAGGAAATTTACTCGTTAATCCGATCGTGCGCTCTGCATAGAAGTCCGTCAAAATGATTTTTTTGAGAAATACTGAAAGTTTCAAAGAGATCTTTGCACTAGAAGTATTCTAAAATGTGAAGAATACTACCGCGGGGGTACTATATGTGAGGCAGCATGGTGGAATCAGGCTCTCGTCAAAATAATGAAATTGAAGAAAACAGCAGTTTTCTCCCTGCTTAGAAGGCACAAAAATATAAATTTACAAATTTCCATGGACTCTCCAGCTTTGGAATTTACAAAGCTTTGGCGACCATTTTCTAGCTAATTTTACCTCTTAAACCAGGTGACCCCCACCTCCTTCAATCCAAAATATCCCCACTTCTATTGAAGATGGATGGGTAATTTTTTTTCTTTGAAAGCAAGACAAATGAACAAGCTTTAACATGATACCAATAACTCAATATGCCCAAAAATTGACGAGAGCCTGATTCCACGACGCTGCCTCACATATGACCGCAGAAGCTCTTTATATATATAGCAGCCTGACTTTCAAGTGATCAACATTGTGTTGATGGGGGGTATACATTTATAAATGTTTTAAAAACTCAAAGTTTTGATTAATAGATCAACTCTTTCCACAGGTGACAAAGTTGGGGAAGGTCTACTTTCTGCAATAACAGTCAATCTGCTATTAGATTCACACTAGTCAAGTCACATTAGGATGTCAGCGACAGCTCATCAGAGGGAGAAATCCCCCCTGCTTGGGTCAGACCATCAGTCTGGTTCGTACTCTAGAGGTGAGTATTTATCAGAGTAAATCATGCTGTAAAGTTTGTAATGTATAATGTTTTGCGCTGCCATCGACACAATTCAGGTTACTTTGGTGGCGGGCTGCTCAGACCCAGGCTGAGAAGGATAGGCAGCTGTTGTTACTTGGAACATAAAACAAATGTTTAACACTACTAACCTTCTGTCTGCATGCTACTATAACAGAAGTTAGCCAAACCTGTTCCTCCCTGTGTTGTGATCCTTTCCACAGCTTAGGGGTCCCGATGCGTTGGAATCTCACACGTTACACACAAATGAACTGAGGCTCTAACTAGCCTTTTTCACCACCTATACTCTCAGCAGGCCTCCTCTGCCTTGCTATAGCTCTCTCCTCAAAAGTCCCCCCCTGCAGCAACCCAGACTGCCTTTATAAACTTGCAAACAATACAACTGAACTGAGACTCACACTTTACTCACTCTCACACTTTCACTTTCAGCCAAACAATACAATAGGCTAGGCCTAACCCCCTGCCACAACCAAAA